TACTGCACGTTTGTATACACCATTTGATGTTTGTATGGTAACCACACGGGTAAGTCCATCTTCTCCTGGATGAAGTTGGATTATACGTCCCAGCTTCCAATATAATGGAGGTAAATTGTCGTCGATAATTAAAACCATAGATCCAATTTCTGGTTTATTCTCTTCAGGACTTGATAACCATTTTGTTCGCTTCTGAAGATTAAGTAAATAGTCCCTTGACCATCTCTGCCAGAACTGTTGGAACATTTGCTGCAAGGCTTGGTATTGTGTTAGTCTATTTCTTGGTAAGTCTGTAAGGGTTTTGCTAGGAATTGACAATAAGGGTGTGCCGATTAGGAAGTGACCAGGGGTTAAATAGGTTAGGTCAGCTGGATCCTCAGATAAGGGAGTAATGGGAGATGAATTCATTGCAGCTTCAACTTGTGCAAACAGAGTAACCAGCTGTTCAAATGTCAAATGGTTTTTCCCAATAACTCTCACGATGTGATATTTTGCACGTTTAACCGCGGCTTCCCACAAACCACCATGATGAGGAGCCCTAGGCGGTATGAAATTCCAAGTTATTGAATTCTTTAGTAAGTAAGTTGTAATGTTGGGTGTCTTGATTAAATCAGGGATGGATTTCATAATTTCATTTAGTTCGTTATTGGCACCGGTAAAATTAGTCCCATTGTCACTGTATATGGTTTTGCATAATCCGCGGCGACTAACAAACCGTTTCAGAGCGTTGAGAAAACTATCGGTTCCCAGGTCGCCAACTGCTTCCAAATGAACGGCCTTTGAGGTAAAGCATATAAAAATGCAAAGATATACCTTGACGAGGTTGCGATTACGTATTTTTCCGTCCTTAATTAGAAATGGCCCGGCAAAGTCCACTCCGGTGATATAAAATGGTTTATTTACAATGACTCGATCAGAAGGTAATTCGCCCATTTTTTGGACTAACCGTCTGGGATTTACCCGAAAGCATGTTATGCAATTCCTAACTATGTTGCGTACCGCCCGGCGGCCTTGAATTAGCCAAAATTGTTCACGCAATAAGGCCAGAATTGTCAAAATACCGGCGTGTAAGTTTTTATGGTGCTCATTTAAAATAATCAGTCGCGTCAGAGGGTGCTTAGAATTGATAATAATTTGATGTTTCATGCCATATGGCAAATTTGCCTTCGATATTCGACCTCCCACCCGTAATAAACCGTCATTTCCTATGATTGGGCTAAGAGATAATAACTTAGATTTATTGTCAATAGGTCGTTGATTTTTAATAGCTTTGAATTCATCAGGAAACATTTCAGGCTGCGCTATTTTGAGAAGCACTATTTTGGCTCGTTCCATTTCATCAACAGATAGTTGGGAGTCATTTTTAATTTTATTTTTACAATTTTGGAAAAATTGGTAGCAATAAGCTATGACGCGCAATAGTCGATACAAACTTGAAAATTTAGGAAAAATGTTCAAAGTATTTTCATGTAAAACAGTTAATACTTTCTGGCTTGTTTTAATTTCTGGTATTTCCTCCATAATATTTATATCATTAGGCCAGTTGGACGAATCAGACTCTTCAAGCCAGTCCGGCCCTGACCACCACAATTTTGATGCTTCTAAATCATGGACGGATGTAACACGGGAAATTAAATCCGCGGGATTTTGGGTTGTGGAAACGTGCTTCCACTGAGAGGGATTGCTCTGGTCTTGAATATCTGCTACACGGTTAGCAACGAATATTTTGAGTTTACTAGGTGATGTTGAAATCCAGTTAAGGACTATTGTACTATCAGTCCAGAAATATATATTATCAATCTTCACTTTCAGCGACGTTTTCACGATTTCACTAAGTCTGATAGCTAATGTGGCACTACAAAGCTCTAATCGAGGAATTGAAATTGTCTTTAGAGGCGCCACTCGAGACTTGGCACATACTAACTGAGTAAAACAAATATCATTTTTATTAATTGATCTTAAATATGCGCAAGCTCCGTAAGCCAGTTGAGAGGCGTCGCAAAAACAATGTAATTCAATTAATTTTGAATCCGGAATCAAGACATGTCGATTTATATTGATTTTATTAATTTGAAATAATTCATTAACCAACATCAGCCACGAATGGCTAATATCAGGTGGGATATCGGAGTCCCATTCTACTTTGTGCTGCCAAAGTTTTTGTATTAACATTTTCGAGCGAATGATAATTGGAGCTATTAATCCCAATGGGTCAAAAATACTTGATATAGTTGACAAAATAATGCGTTTTGATACTTTATTGTGGTTTTGATTGACATTTTGATTTGAGTAAGTTAAAATATTTGATTTAGCGTGCCATACGAGGCCTAATGTTTGTCTGATTTCGTTATCATGAATATAATATTTATCGTTTTGTTCATTAGTACCCTGTTCAACTACTTGAGTAAAATTAGATACCCATTTACGAAGGTAAAATCCGTAAGGCTCTAATATCTGACTTATTTCGGTTTTTAATTTAATTGCGCTAGCTATATCCCTTTCGCCCGTTATCAAATCATCAACGTAAAAATCTGAAAGTATTACGTCACTAGCTTTTGCAAAATCTTTTTGGTTTTCATATGCTGTTTGTTGAAGTGCACGAGTTGCAAGAAAAGACGCAGAAGAGGTACCGTAGGTAACTGTTCCTAACTGATAATGCGAAATTTCATCTTCACTATTTTTACGCCAAACAATTCGTTGTAAGTTTCGCTGATCTTCAGAAATGTTGATTTGCCTATACATTTTGGCCACATCTGCAGTTATCACTACAGTATGTTGTCGAAAGCGAATGAGTATTGAAATTAATTCGTCCTGCGTTTTTGGGCCTGTTTTTAAGATGTTATTTAATGAAACGCCAGTACTAGTTGGACAAGAACCATCAAACACCACTCTTAAGGACGTGGTAGTACTAGCTGCATTTATTACGCCATGGTGAGGTAAGTAGAATAGATTATGACCGTTATTTTCAAAAGTATTAATATTTTCTGGACTGATTTTTATCATATGACCTAACTTTTCGTATTCATCCATAAAAGTTAAATATTGCTCTTTAAATTCGGGATTTCTTTTAAATTTGCGTTCCATAGCATAAAGACGTTTGATGGCAGGGTCTAATGAGTCGCCCAATGTTTCAGAATTTTCATTTATTGGTAATTTTACAATAAAACGCCCATCACTGTCGCGCTTTAGGCTTTCAATGAAAATTGTTTCACATTCTTGCTCTTCCTTACTTAAGAATTTCCTAGGAGGAAACTCCTCAAGTTCCCAAAATTTTTTTAATTGGTTCTCAAGATTCAATTGTTCCTTTGACAATTCGGTAGATATGCTCAGATAACTGTTTACTTTGCCATGATTATGGAAAATTCGATTTGAATCAATAAGTAGTAAACCAGAAATAACCCAACCAAAAAAGGTGCTTTGTAATATGGGCAAGCCTGGACCCAGGTGTTTTTGTTCGGGAAGGATAGTTTCATAAAAAATGGTAACACCAAGCAATAAATCTACATCAGAGGAAATATTACAATTTTTGTCCGCTAATACAATATTATCAGGTAATTTTAATAAAGATTTATCAAACGTTTGTGATGGTAATTTTTGTGTTATATTATCTAGAATTAAGAAATGAGCCTGCGCGTTATAGAGATTGTTAAATGATTTAATTTGTGTTAAAGTTCGATTTTTCAATGTTTTAGAAGAATCCCCAATTCCTTTTATCGGTACATGAACTCCAAAAAATTCTAATCCTAATCTTTTAGCTAGTTTCAACGTTATAAAATTGGATTGCGATCCACTATCAAGTAGTGCCCTGCATGTAATCCATTTTCCATTATTGTCCCTGATATGGAGCATTACAGTGGAAAGTAAGATTTCAGAATTATTACCGATACTATAATTTACCGCAAAACTGGAAGCTTCACACTTCTCGGTATTATCTTTGGTTTCGTTTTCATTCTTTTTTGAGTCTTGACTTGGTCGATTATCTTGGTTTTCATGGAGCAATGTATTATGCTTTTTTGAGCATATTTTACAACCTTGAGCAATACAATCACCAAATGAGTGGTTAGGACGTAAGCAATTTATACAATGTCTGAGTTTCTTAATTTTTTCAAACCGAGATGGAATAGATAAGGCCAAGAATTTTTCACAGTGGTAAATGTAATGTTTTCCCTTACAATAAGCACACTCTAGAACATATTTTCCGGTCTGAGTAGTAAACGATTGATTTTTTTGTTTATCACGATAACCAGTTGCATTTCGCGACGAATCCCCTTTATCTTGATTTTTAGCAAAATGATTTTCTGTTGTTTCTAAACATTTACACCTATCCGATAGGAAATCCAACAAGTCATTAAGTTCTACCATTTTTGATTTTTTATTGATTGAGAATTCCTCCCACTGCGCTATAGTACGATAATCTAATTTAGTTGTTATAATATAAATTAACAGAGTTGACCACGAATCAACTGGTTCTCCTAACAATTTGAGAGCCCTGAACCGTTTTTGAAATTCATCTAAAAATTGCCTAAGCCTGTATGTTTTGGAAACAGTTGGAAGCTCAAATAACGCTTTGACATGATTTTTTATTGTTAGCGCTTTGTTTTCATATCTTTCGGTAAGCAAACTCCATGCTAAGTCATAATTTCCCTCTGTTATCTCGATTGATTCTAATACTTTAGCGGCATCACCTTTCAAAGAGCTCAACAGGTAATAAAATTTTCGTACCTTGCCAATACTTTTATCTTCATGAACTAAAGTTTTAAAAAGGTCGCGAAATTGTGCCCATTTTTCATATTCGCCATAAAATTTAATTAATTCGATAGTTGGCAGGCCTTTACTACCACCAGCCGTAGCTGAATGAATCATGTTTTGATTTACAGTGGGACCCGACTTTGCATCAAGCTTGCTATCATAAAATTTCCGAATAATTCGAAGCGCGGTTCCCGTGACGTCATAGTACAAATCCTCAAAATCATCACGTTCGGAACTTTGCAATTCGTTACGATCAGCCTTTTCCAAAGCTTTTTGAACTGCATTGAAATCTCTTAAAACTGACTCTTCGATTTTTTTTAACCTCAATTCTAAATTCTCGATTTTATCCACCGTGAAATTATCCAGAAACCCAACAAATCTACGCAAACTAGCTTTAATTTGCTCGCGCTCTTGTTGTAACTCCCCGATATGAGTCGATTTTAATTCCTCATCATTGAGGCTCAAGGTATCTTCTTCACTCTTATGCATTTTGAATTAATATCTATACTATTCAACTCAAAATCCCAAAAATAAACTGATTTAAAAATGAAATGATTGATTTACGATAATATTTTACGATTTTAAACAACAATAATAACTAGTTACTTATTTGCACAAGCAAAACAACAAATAAATTCAAAGAAATAGTTAAAGGAAGCGGAAAATGGAAGACTTACAAATTATCGATATCGAATGCCAGCTCGATCCACACCAGCACATCACTAATCCTCCACTTTCGCTGTTTTTAACAAAATGGCCTGATGCCCTGTTCGATTTATTCTTCTTTTCGAAGCGATTTTCACACTGTATAACGATGAATCCACAGGTGTTTTTACCATGCGGCCGAAGGACCATAAATGTTGATTTGATTTTGCTGATTTTAATTATTGAAGTGATTTGATTGATTGTAAAAAACAAGATTTATTTTCGAAAAATACAGAGTTGTTTTCATGTTGGTTGAAGTCTTTTTAATGATTGATGCGTGCTCCCGCTGTTCAGGTGGCGCAATTGTTCAAGTCTTCTGACGTCATGCAACAGCGTTGCCGCGAGTTGGCGGAATTGCGGGATATCCTTTAACTGATTCAACAATAGCTAACTACTGTTTAAATATAATTATTAATTTAATTAATTAATCATTATCATAATCAGATATTTACCTTCATTAACGTTTCCTTCATCATTATCTAGTATTCTAGTATCTAATAATTATGGGTTATTATAATTATTACAAATTTATTTCTTTCATATCGAGTACCGATAGATATAATACACGGTGTATATTTTAAGTGATACCACTATTACTATATCAAGAACGGTAAGAGCTACAAGGTCGGTTAAATTAGAAAAAAGTTGCCCTTTTTGATGCCCATTAAAGACTCGTTTGCAGTGTTGCCAAATTTCTTTTAGTTTATGAAATACAGGGTGATTTCTAAGAAATGCCCAAAAATATTTTATCAATTATTTCGAAAACTATTGATTTTCGAGACACAATTTAAATTTGAAAGTTTTTCAATTTTTTTTTCTCTACAACATAGCATTTTCAAATTTCAAATCTGACGTTTCGTGATCGAGCTGCCATCATCAACTTCTTTTTTTCAAATACGGACCTAAATTTTTTATGTAATTTTTAGAAATCGCCCTTCATTCCCTATCTAAAAATGACATAAAAAATCCAGATCCATATTTAAAAAAATGAAATTGAAGATGGTAGCTCGATCAGTAAACGTTGGATTTGAAATTTGAAGATGCCATGTTGTTGAGCAAAAAAGATTATAAAACTTTCAAATTTAAAGTGTGTCTCGAAAATCAATAGTTTTCGAAATAATTGATGAAATATTTTTGGGGGTTTCTCAGAAATCACCCTGTATTTCATAAACTAAAAGGAATTTGGCAACAATGTAAACGAGTCTTAAATGGGCATCAAAAAAGGCAACTTTTCTCTAATTAAACCGACCTTGTAGATCTCACCGTTTCAGATATAGTAATAGTGGTATCACTCAAAATTAGTGTTGTAAAATTCTCGGTAATTTTCGAACGTTACCGAACTTTCGGGAATGTTTGAGAATTTTCGAGAATTTATGAGAACTTTGGAGAATGTTGCAAAAGCACCTATAAATTCGGCTTTTTAATGTAGGGCTTGTAAAAATGTCTATTAATAATAAAGTTTCACTAAATTTCCCTATTTTTCTTTTCTCTGGTAGGGGTAGGTGAATTTTCCATAAATGTAGATATAACCCATGTCTATGTATTATTAATTTATTGTAAAGAAAATGATAATATTTATAAAACTAATACAAGTCTTGTTTCTTGTAAGTTGGTGTAATAAAAAACAAACTAAAAAACAACGTAGATGTAGGTAGGTAGCAGTGGTAGCAAGCACCAAAAAATAAAACTCAAAAATTTTTAAATGCAAATACCTACATAACTATATAAAGTGTTAAGTCAAAACCAAAAATAATATAAAAAAATAAATTTAAAAATAAAAATAGGAACTCTAGAAAAAGAAACTTATAAAACGAACTTTTTGTAGGTAATGGTAATAACACAAGTAGTTATAAAATAAAAAAATAATACTAAAAATATCCAGAAATCAGGGTCCATGTCCATGAATAGTCAAATCAAACGATTAGGTGACATTTAGAAATGCATTTTCAGCGAACTTTCGCTTAGAGAGGAGCGAACTTTACCGTAAATTACGGTAATAGTGCGAACGTTCGCTCGGTAAAGTTCGCTTGTTACAACACTACTCAAAATATACACCCTGTATATAGTGGATTCATTAACCTTTAGACACTGGCGCCGACTACATGGGGGCATCGGGGCATCGGGGCATCGGGGCATCGGGGCATCGGGGCATCGGGGCATCGGGGCATCGGGGCATCGGGGCATCGGGGCATCGGGGCATCGGGGCATCGGGGCAAATGCACCCATGAGCAACCTCTCATGGATGCGGAGCACCCATGGGAGCTCCCGTGGGAAATACGGAAGTACAAACGTGTTTAATGCTCATTCCGTTCTATGTGGTAATATCCAGTATCATGTAATTTAAATGCACACAACTTTGTATAAGAATTATACAAGTGGTGTTAGTGTGTGGTATTCTGTCCATATGTCCTTCCGTTATTTGTGGTCAGTTCTATGCTCTATTACATCTACTTTATGTTGCTATTCTCCATCTTTATTCTTTGTGATAATAATCGGGAAGTCTGGCCCACAACGGGAAGTCTGGCGCTTGCGCCGTACAGCGGCCGTATGCCATATAATTTAGTTTTGCGTGTGGGTAGGGATCGTAATGATATATCGATGTTTTGTAGAAATCAAAATATTATGTGTGTGAGAAAGGCGAGAAAGCTTTAGGGATTTGTTATCCTTTGGTACTGATCCTTACGTTATCCTTTTTATCTGGTCGATTACTCCTGTTTGTGTAAATAAAGTCGCCTAGATAGACCCTATGGCGTGAAGTGAGTGACAGTTTTGATAATTTTTTTTCAAGAATCTTAATTTTTATTTGAGACAATTAGTGCCGGTACTTTTGCTCTCATTTGACAGCCGTTAAAAATAATCAGGGGTTTAAATGTGCTCTAACCACATCATACTTATAGACCTTGGCCCACGCAAAACTTTGACGACGTATCAAATTCGTTAGCAAAAGTATCGGCCCTTAGGCAATATATTCCAATATGGCCGTTCAGGTCAAATCAATGAACTATAGCTAAAAACTGGAATGTGCACACATTGCCATATCTGCCAAAAAAATGAAGCCGTGAAAGACAGATGCCACAAGGGGGAATGTTGTTTTTTTCTGTTGCTCGCTGACATATAACGTTTTCGGACGTTTTGTCATATTTCCCTTCACAGGTTTCATCAATTGGAATACGTGTTGGAAGCAATTTTCGCCATTTAACATAATGAGTGCGACAAAAACAAGTATCCCCTCCGCAGCAGCCGCACTGGGCTTCACGTTCGTCCTTATGTGTTAGCATTCCAGTTTTTGGTTATAGTTCATTGGGTCAAATTGTGGTGACGTTCATAAAAAAAGCATTTTTGTTCAGGGCCCTTATTGTTGTAGATGCCAAACATGACAATATGACAATGCCAATGTCAAACCTAAATGTCCAGAATGTGACAAAATAATAATTTTTCATTGATTTCTGTCAATAACCATGTAAACAACACGGTGTCAGACCTGAACTTCCATATTGAATTTCGTTTGGCAGGTCATGAGATTGCCTAATAATTTTTATTTTTCACATAATTACATATTGTCTGGCTAGCCAAACGGCGAACTGCAATAGAATTTGCTGCTTTGCCAAACTTGACGGAAACAGTAATAAATAATGTTGGTGACATATTTTTTTTTGCTACATGGGCATGTGTAGTATTTTGAAATTAGAAAAAAATCCGGCAACATGGCGAAAGGATGGATGTGGAAAGGCGTGATTATTCAGAGGCATGATTTTATTGGTTAGAGCCTGAACGACAGCACAGTGGCGTGGCTATTGGCGAAACTTAAAAAAAAATCTAATAATTTTATTGGTTCATTTCCTTGGTGTTTTCGGTGCCACTGAACCCAAAGAGATGGCTGTCATCGAGCGGTGTTAGTTGAGATGTCAGTAAATATTCTTAGGTTACGCCCCACTTTTCTCCCCCCTTTCGTCTCTATCAACTTACCACTTGCCAGACTATACATCATCGACTTGCCGATATGATAACGGCGTAACAACACATTTCAACCTCAAATTACGCAATACAAATTCTTTCGCGAAGATTAACCAAATACTGGCAAATACAGAGAGACAACGTGAATGTTTGTTCTCACCGAAATCACAAACCAGTCGAGCGAATTTCATTGGTTGAAAATCGTCAGAAAACTGGTTGTTGGCGATTTGCACCAATCAAAAACGCTCTGACTGGTTTCTGAATTCTGTGAGGAATGAGAACAGACCTAGAAACACAGCTCATGGGGTCTGTTTTCAGTTTAATGTTGAAATGATTAATGATTAGGTGATTTGCGTCACATGGAAAAAAACAAGAAAATTTAAAATTAGGTGCTAGCTGACATCACACACATAACCTGAATGATATGTTTGTCCCCCTATCGAAAGTCACGTTATGTCATTGGTGACAAGCTAGCGTCTGTGTGTTAAATAGACGTTTCAAATGCCTTGTTTGTCCCCCTAACGGAAATGAGGTTATGTGTGTGACGTCAGCTAGTGCATAATTGGCTAATAGAACTGTCAAAAATTTTTCTTCAAAATTGTAGGTATAGATTTTAATAATAGTGTTTATTATGTTGTTCCTGGAATTAAATGTTTTATTTTTAGTTTTTGATTTGTTTTTATGTTTGTTTTGTTGTTTCAATCAAGATATTTTTGGGAAATGCCATTTTTATTTCAGTCACGGAAAAATCTCCGGGTGTAATCAATTTCAAAAGTTGGCAACCCTGATCATAGTGTACATAAATATTATATTAAGTTTATTGTAGTGGC